TTCCTGCTGCAGTCAGTGTGAGACAAGAGAGAACAAAACAATTTAGGTAGTGTAGTAGTGTAGTAGTAGACAAGATTGCGCCTTGTTACTCTTTGAAAAAGAATAACAAATCCTTTCTTATTGTTTTCCTTTTTTCCTTTGTTTTGGGGAGGAGAGCAGAAAATGGCCCCAGTGGAAAGTTCTGCTAGATAATAATAGATTTTTCATAGGGCTTAAAATATCATCCCCAAAGTATAATTAATAGACATTTGTATATCAGCTAAAGCATCTATGTACAGGCTAGAAACTTTTATACAAACAAGTGTATGGGAGCAGTATCAACAACAGTGGTTTTCAAAGTCATTTTACCAATTCTTATTAATATGTCTGTCTTCCCGTAAGTGGCTGATATTTTGCTGTGAGGCTGCTCAGTAAGTTATGATCGTAGCTATCTGTATGTTTCCAAATCACTTCTCTCCCATTTTGTCTACCACATTAGGCATAGGGAAATAGGGAACTATGACCCACTGCCGACTTACTATTTTGGGTGCAGTCATACTCAATAACACAAAGGAGTGTATTACGATATACTCTGCCAAAGTTGTTTGAAAGACGTGTGGTTCTCAGCAAGGAAAAGCTTCCTTGCACCTGCATGTCAAGTAGGAAATTTGCTTTGTCCTTTGTAGTATTCTAGAAAAACCCTTTATAGGTCATCAGGACCTAGTTTGTATAAAAGGGGAAGCAGCATGACACAGCAACACATTGCTTCTAGTAGCATTACACTCCACTGTAACACCGGTAACGGACTGCTGGGAAGTTCTTGTCATAGACTATATTTTATTTTACAGATAAAAGAATAGGTTTGACACAACTCCTTTGCAAAATACCAACCTTAGGTTACTTTACTCCCACTTAGATTTGAGCCAAAGTAATGCACAGATTTTGAGTTGGCTTTTTGCAGGAGATGGAGTTCCAGCGCTGTACCTGTGAATTTTCCAGCACAGCTCACCTTTTCAGGGGGCAGCATGTCTATGGTTTTTTATTGCTATCGTGCATGCTTATTCTGCTGGTACCTTAAAGAATCTTGCAAAGTCGTGTTAGCAAGCACTGGTTTTTTGGCTGTGTTTTCATGTAGAACAATGGTTGCTCGCAGCTGAGTTTTGATATACGCAGCTTGTTACGATGAAGAGGTGGAATGAATGATAAGTGGATGTTCTCTGACTCCCAAAGGGATCAGAGTGACACTGCAACTTTACGGTTGTGATGATAGTGATTATTCTGTACTCCCCTTTGCCTATAATACAATACAATAAAAGGGCAAGATGCATTATAGTATTTGGTGTGCTTTGTTACTGATTTGAAAAATGATAGTGCTTATGCATTAATAAATATCTGGTCTTTAATTAGATGGTAAATCCACAGAGAAAAAATGCTACTTTAAATATAAAAATAAAGAAATCTTGTATTTGGGCTAAATTTATGAATGTATTCTTATTTGCTGAACTATAAAATTGAACTCACTCTTATTTGAAATTAAAAGTACTGTAATGATTTTTGTGAGCTTTTTTAAGGACCCATACTCTGTACTTGGTGGTTGTGATAAAGCTCCTTATAATTGCTGGATGGCATGAAGAAAAAAAATTGAGCTAGATAGTTTTAATTTATTATTGCTCATGAAGTTAATTTAAATTCAGAACCCCCTTGAGTCTCCACTTACTTGAAGAAACTGTATATTTTACAAAAGGATTAAATTGCAGGAGGCCTTAAAGCAGAAAGTCTGTTTCCCCACACAACACTTCCAGCACTGTTTTGCTGCAGAGCCAAGGCAGTTTTCATGACCCTTTGAAACCAAGCCGTGTCTTCTTTTCTTTTGGTGCAGTGCTGCTGCAGGTAGCCCTGGGAACATTTGCCTAATGGCATTTGTACACAAGGTGGAGTGCAAGTGGTAGGCTGTAAAGATGCACAGCTAAGTCCTCCCTAGAAGAGAAATGGTATAATCATCTTAGCGTGGTGCTATCTCTGGGTAGGCAAGGTGATGGATAAATCTTGGTAATGATCTCCACATCTCCACATCTCCAGAGCTTCTCATACCTGAGCTAATGCCTTCTTTGGGTGTAATTCTGTGTGTATTCTAAGTTAGTAATTTTCGGCTGGGTCTCAGGACAACTCTCCAAAGACATGTCTCTGGATTTAATTCTAAAAAATGGGAACACAATTTATCTTGCTTGTAATGAAGATTCCTGTTAGGTAACATCAAAGCTAGCTAGTATTATTGCTAGCTGAATTTGGCTAGTGTATGGGCTGGTGTTCCTTGCCCGTATTTTTGTGTGGAAAACTCTGAAAACCCCATGGAATACCCTTTCCAGATGCAAATCTCATATTTAGAAATCAGTTATATCTTTGTACCCAGAACTAGTCTATAGGTAACTCCTGGGTGATCTGAGTTCTAAGCAATAGTTATAAAGTGTTACAGTTATAGTTATAAAGTTAGTTCCCTTAAGAGTAGCCATGTGGTTTCTGCACCCCTTCCTTCACCTGCCCCAGGCTGGTACCCAGAGACAAAACCTCCTCCTGTAGCAGTGGGACTTGTGGAGGGGGCTGATGCTGGCCATTTGTTTGCTACTAGAAGACAGATATCACCCTGCTGAGAGAAAGCACTTGCTGTGCTGAAGGAGGCTAACAGGAATTCCAGTTTAGTTCAAAGGTAATTTAAAAGAAGAAAGGCTCTGAGGCTGTTGTGCCTTTCCCATGGCAAAGAGAAGCACAAAGGACGTTTTTTCTTTGGAACTGGCACAAGGCAGAAAGTTTGCCTTTGCCTCTCTTGGCAGACAAGAAAGAAGACCCCCTGGCCTAAAACAATGTTCTGCTTAGTCCTTCCCTGGCCAGGACTCAGTGAGTGAGAGAAAAGGGGAGCAAGTGTGGAAGGCTAAAGAGAGACCTGCCTTTGGCAGCCTGGCTGAGTTCCTGGCAAATCAATGCTCCTGACTGAGAAACCAGAGCTGCAGCCTCCTAAGGATTTATACGCTGTGCATGATAAGCAGAGGCTGCAATCATTTTGAATGAGAGCAGTGCTGCAGACAAAGCCAGCACAGCAGTATCAGGAACATGATTTGAAATGGGGAGCACAGATATGTTGTGCACGCTGATGCAAAAGAAGAGATTATTTTCTCCGCTCTCATCAAGCATGGCATGTGAATTTTCCAAGCTTTCCAGAACCTGCTTTTGAGAACTGTGCAATGAAATGCAGATGGAAGAGGTGGTTGTGAATAATCCCTGTGTTCCTGTGCTGGAGCTGTGCAGAACATGGAAAGTCTCAGGGAGGCTTTGTGCTGTGCTTGTTCCCAAAGAAAATACGGAAGAGCTGGAAGCATCTTTTGCAAACTGGTACCTGCTGATTTGAAAATTAAGGGGAAACTAATTTACAGGTGCTTTTACTAACCAAGGAGAAAGGCAGCACTCACTTAAAGAGTGTTCTTGGCAGCAAAAGTTAAATAGAGGTGGAAAACTAATATCAATTGCAAATATATATATATGTATGTATAATATGTATATATGTATAAAATATTTAGCTTCATTTTTGCTCAGTAAACATTTTGAATAAGTCATTTCTGACAGTGATGGATGAAGCAGGATGGGTCTGTCTGCTAAACTTCTGAAAAGACACCGTGATTTTCTAATTTCTGATTCTGGCTCTGCCTTGAACAGGCCTTGAGGATCTGTTCAGAACATGCACTCAGCATCTCTGCATCTCCACATGGGCAAAGGAAGGAAAGAATTTTCCCCTCATACTCTCATGATAATTTGTTGACTGCTAGAGGAGGATCCCACACTAGAAGGGCCTTTGGTCTAACCCAATGTGGACAAGCTTATGTGCTTATGTTACGTTCTCTATGTATATGGCTAGAAAAGAAGTTGAAGTTATTAACTTCCTTCCCTGAACTCCAGAGGGGAGGAATGAGAAACACAAGGAGGCTGTTAGAAAACCACTTCATCATTCTTATCATTCTTGAGGGGACTGAAGCACATGGTAAACCTTACTAGAGCCTCAAACCTGTCTCACCCGCTCCATCCCTGATCTGGGTGGCAAAGGGGAGACAACTGGATCCCTGAAACATGTAGTTCCCATTGGCCGTTGAGCTCAAAGGTGATGGAGAGGAAAAGCAAAAACAAAAGAACCAGTTGCAACACAGAGCAGCCATCCATGATGGAGCTTTATACGGCAAGAAACCTCAAGTATCCTCTTGCTCTGTCTGTGTGTAAACACAGCCCTGTCCCTAGCAGATAAAAAAGAATTAACATTGATGATGTTCATTAATGTCCATTATTAAAGCTTCAGTTCACTACATCCATCATTATGTTTTCCATGCAATAGC